CCCGCTGCCGTCGTTTGTATCCGCTTCACTCTCCGACGTTTCCTCCCTCAGTTTCAGCAGCTCTATAAAAAGAAAAAGCAAAATAAATGCAGCTAACTAATTGTAATTTAATAATTACTAATTAATTAATTATTAATTAATATTTGTACGTTTCTAGTTTCAGATTAAATAGAAAAACCTGAAACGTAAAGCTACAAATACCCCTATCCTTGACGATCGCAATTTGAATTCATCTTTTCGCGGCAGTCTACAGAGATCAGCAGCAGCAGCAACAGCAGCAACAGCAGCAGCAACAGAAGCAGCAGCAGCAACAGCAACCGCAGCAACAGCAGCAGCAGAAGCAGCAGCAGCAGTACGTCACGAGAAGGCGACAGTGGAAGTAGAGGCAGAAACAGAGAAAACCCAAACCAAGAAGAGGAAAAGAGAGATGTATTTCAAGCGTATGCATGCATTTTATGTGTTGTATATATACAAACAAAAAAAACAAAAAACAAAAAAAAAAGTAAAACAATTAAAGTTTCAATACCTGGCATTTGCTTCGCCGCCGCAAACTCCGATTCTTCTGAAAATTTTTCACCGCCCAAAAAATCTGAAAAAACAAAACCCTAAACCCTAAACCCTAAACCCTAAACCCTAGATCGTGAGCTTCGAAACATAAGCCTTATCTATATATAAAAATATATGAAACCCAAAAGCCAAGCTCTACGCCCCCAGCATGTTTTATTAAGAGCTGAAGAAGAGGCACAGTAACCTGAGAAGCTGCAGATTCAACTAAACCCTAAACCCTAAACCCTAAACCTTAAACCCTAAACCCTAAACCCTAAACCCTAAACCCTAAACCCTCTTCTAACCTTTAACTATTTGGAGTGCTGGCCCGTATATCTTTTCCTTCCACTCGGCGACTGCAGCTGAAATGCATAGACAACAGAAGAACACGAATTTTCTGTCTTGCTTTTCTCTTTTTGTTGTTAAATATAGCGTTTATATAATATATATATATATATATTTATTTATTTATTTATATATACTTATATATAAATGTGCATATTCAATATAAACCCATGCAGGTGAG